AATATCAGTCCCCTTTATTTAGTTAATCTCTTTTAGCCACAAATTTAATTCTTATTAATTCTTGACTAATATTAATTAAACAATATGATTTCTCTTTTAATATATTATTCATATAATATATTAATAAATCATAATTAATCCTCTTTCTCCTTAGTTCATCCTATCAGTTGCTATGGTGAAGGCAACCCAAAAGGACCATGCTCACAATCGGGCCAAGTACATACCAAAATAGTGATGGGCTTAGACACCTAATCCAACATGAACTTGATCAGGAACTCTGAATTCTCACCCTTGGAGATCTCACAATCTCTCAATATTGTGAACGGATAAAGGTAATTTCTAACTTACTCGCCAACATTGGTTCGCCCGTTCCTGAGCACACCTTGGTCACATATCTTATCAATGGTTTGTAACCCAAGTATGACAACATCCCCATAGTGTTGCACCACCAAGACCTGCTACCATTTCTCCTTAAATGCCGATCCATCTTAACCTTGGAAGAGCGCACCCTAAACCGCAACCGCCCCATTCAACCTCTTCACATGGACCATGCTTCATCACCAATGCCCTTCATGTGGGAAACCGTCCAAACTCTCAAATCTGGGCCTCCACCAGCAGTAACAGAGGCAGTAGAAAATAGTCACAGTCATGTCGCGGTGGCTCCAATGCATCAGACAATCGCTGCCCACCTGTTGTTGCACAATAGAACCCACCAGGGCTGCCTTGGCCTCTTTACTCGGTACCTTGGACTCATTTCATGTGGTCGTATGCTGCCTAGCAGCAACCCTATAGACTACCAACACAACAACAACACCGATAACATCCGGGTGTGCTCAGTGTTGCTCCGCCTCAGACCTCGGGTGCCACAAGTCCACATCAGCAGCATGCAACATTTTATGTTGCCCATCAATCTCCTGGTCTTCTCCCCTCTACTCAGTGGTTTCCACCATTGACCCCAGACCAGCCCACAGACATCACTCAGGGCCTAAATGCCATGCAAATCAATGATGGGTCGGATCCTAACTGGTATATGGACACCGATGCCACCTCCCATCTTGCCTCACACACATGTAAACTCGATTCTATTAGCACAAAAAGTCATATAAAACATGTCCTTATTGGCAATGGTTCACCCATACCCATTACACATGCAGGTCAAACCAATTTTTCTTCCTCTCATCATCCTTTTTATGTACGTAAGGTTTTAGTCACACCTAACATTATGAAAAATCTTATTTCTGTTCGACGGTTTACAACCGATAACCAAGTGTCCATTGAATTTGATCCATTTGGATTTTGTGAAGGATCTTCAACCTCTATAGCTCCTTCTTAGGTGTGACAGCTCTGATGATCTCTATCCATTTCATCCTTAGGCTCTAGTTGCTCTTATCTCCACCCGGGCTTCCTTATGGCATCAATGTCTTGGCTATCCTGGGCCTCATGTTTTTAATCACTTAGCTTCTAGTCATTTTATTGATTGTAATAAAGCTCCAAACTCTATAAGTTGCCAAGCGTGTCAACTTCGCAAACACATTCGGTTACCTTTTTCCATTTTAAATTCTATCGTTTCTGGTTTTTTTGATATTGCCAATTCTGATTTGTAGGAATCTCTTGTTGAGAGCATTAGTGGCATAAAATATTACATTTTGTTTCTTGATCGCTTATCTCATTTTGTTTGGGTTTACCCCCCCCCAGCAAGAAATCCGATGTTTTTTTTCCAAATTTCTTCACTTTAGAACCTTTGTCAAAAATCAGTTCAATATTGACATCAAATATTTTCAATGTGATCATGGTGGTGAATTTAACAACAATCAATTCCACCAATTCTTCGAGCAACACAATATCGTGTTTTGTTTCTCATGCCCTCGCACTTCCCAAAAAAATAGGTAATATGAACGTATGATACGCACTATCAACAATATCTTACATACTCTTCTTTTACATGCTACTTACCACCGGATTTTTGGGTCAAAGCACTACATATGGCAATTCACCTTCTAAACCTCACTCCCTCCACTTCCATCAAATAATGAAATCCAATACACTATGCTCACTTAAAATCCACCATCCTACTCTCACTTTCGTGTTTTTGGATGCCTTTGCTATTCTCACATTCCCACACCTCATAAACTAGCCCCACGATCCACACCTTGTATTTTTCTTAGATATCCCTCCAATCATCGTGGTTATCGGTACTTCAATCTTTCCACACGCCAAATTATAATTTCCTGTCATGTTACCTTTGATGATTATTCCTTCCCTTATCGTTCCATGACACCTGATCAACCTCCCTCCTAGTCATTCCTTGATGAGTTACTTGATTAGTCTCCCTTCTCTCGTGATCTTCTTACTTCCTCACCACCTTCTCTTTCTACCGATGGTCCCACCGACAACGTCAACACACACCCCTCTCACCTACGACTGATTCACCTCACCCCTCCCCCCACTCCTCTTAGCTCACCTCAGGCACCTCCTGAACCTCACCTTACCCACCCTCACTCATCCTGTGGTTACTAGAGGTCACCTAGGTATCAAGGAAACCATTAATCGCCTAAATCTTCACACCACCACAGAGTCACCCCTTCCTTGATCCTATCTTCACGCCCTTCAAGATCCAAATTGGACCATCGCCATGAAGGATGAGTTTAACACTCTTATTGCTAATAGAACATGGGTCCTTGTTCCAAGACGTCCCGAGGCCAATATTGTGCGCTCCATGTGGTTGTTCAGAAAGAAATATAAGGTTGATGGTTCTCTCAACCGATATAAGGCTCGACTGGTTGCAAATGGAAAGAGCCAACGACCCGGTATTGATTGTAATGACACTTTTAGCCCGGTTATTAAACCAAATACTATTCGGACTGTCCTTAGACTTGCAGTATCTCGCAAATGGCACATTCATCAGTTAGACGTCAAAAATGCATTCCTGCATGGTCAACTACATGAAATAGTCTACATGCATCAGCCTCTGGGATTTTGGGATCCAACTCATCTTGATTATGTATGTCATCTGCAGAAGTCATTTTACGGACTCAAACAAGCTCCTAGAGCTTGGTTTCATCATTTCGCAACTTATGTCACTCAGATTGGTTTTACTCACAGTCGATGCGACTTGTCTTTGTTTATTTTTTGCAGGGGTTCAGAGGCAGCTTATTTACTTCTATATGTTGATCATATCATTCTAATAGTATCTTCTACAGAGCTTCTTCACCGCACCATTTTCCTTCTAGCCACAGAGTTTGCCATGAAGGACTTAGGTGATCTCTCTTATTTCCTCGGTATTGCAGCCTCGCGGGACGAAAAAGGTATATTTCTTTCCCAATGCAAATATGCATTGGAACTTCTTGATCGGGTAAATATGTCAAATTGCAAACCTTGTAGAACACCGACAGACACGCAGTCAAAGCTTGACAGCGACGTCCCTCCTGTCATTGATCCTACCTTGTACCGGAGTTTAGCAGGCGGCTTACAATACCTTACCTTCACTCGCCCGGATCTATATTTTACGGTTCAGTAGATATGCCTCTTCATGTATGACCCACGGGAACTGCATATGAATGCTTTAAAGCGTGTGTTATGCTATGTTAGCGATACCCTAGACTACCGGCTTCAGATTCATCCCTCCCATACCACAGGCCTTATTGCATACTCTGATGCTGATTGGGGGATGTTCCTCCACTCATCGTTCCACGAGTGGATATGTGTTTTCCTGGGTGACAACTTCATATCCTAGTTATCCAAACGACAATAGACTGTCTCTCGCTCCAGCACGGAAGCAGAATACCAAGGAGTTTCCAATACCATAGCAGAAACATGTTGGCTTCGCAACCTTCTTCGTGAGCTTCACTCCCAAGTCACCAAAGCAACCGTTGTATATTGTGATAACATAAGTGCGGTTTACATGTCCTACATGTTCCCTCCAGACTTCATTATGCTGACCTTCACCAAGGGACATCCGACCACATTATTTATTGATTTCAGATCTAGTTTGAGTGTCCATCAAGACCTCCCGCTCAAACTGTGGGGGTGTATTAGCATACCATGTACCCATGTATGTATTTGTTATGTAAATCGTATGTTTGTATTTTAGTATAGGCCCAAATCTCTAGCTTGTATTATTCATCCCATGTTGTACTCATATTCTATTTAATGAATTCCAAGGCCAAAAGGCCATTCATGGGAAAATAACACGCTTTCAGTTTGTTCGTTATTCAACAATAAGATCATATGTTTTTCCCTGTTAATGTATGTTGTTACGTAGCCTCCTTGATACCTGATAGCGATTGGGTTATCTCTCTTCTAATTCACAAACGGGAAGGCACACTGCAAAATATAAACAAATGCTAGGTTAGAAAACGATATCGAAGGATGGACCCCGATATTGCTCTCTGATACCTAAGTTAGATGTCGATTTGAAGTATTGCTAAATTGTTTATGCTGAGAAAGTTCTACCTTTTTTCTTTGGTGATGTTTGACTTTTATAGGCATTCAGAAGTCTATCAGTTTAGGCTCTTACCCAATTTCCTGTGTAGTCCAGGTAAGGACAACTATTTCCCTTATACTTCTTTATATTTGTTTATTATGGATATCTGTACGTTGCGTTTTTCTAGGGATATGTTTGCCTTAAGATCTTTTTCCAATGTGTGTTGCTATTGAATTGTGGTTTATTCTTGTCTAACGGAGGTTACTTCTTATTGTTGATTTGGGAGGATGCAGAGGTCGGTATTTATATATTTGACCGACTCGAGTACACAATTACGTCCCCCAGTCTGAAGGGTAAAAATGGAGCCAAGTTTTTCTGTTTAGACTATGATCACTCTTGGTAAACGAACCGTTGTGCATGACTTAGTGACAGGCTTCATTAAATGCGTCCAACCGCCGATTAGTCACATCGACTTGGTTGATTAGATTTCCTAATTAATGTTTAACTAGTCCTTATCTTTATCTAATGGATAATAAGATTTTGGAATCTTCAAGATTTTGTACTTCCTGCCTTTTCCATGTCCTCTTCTTCCATGGCTTTTTACATGTCATCCATTTCTTCCAGTGGTGACAACTTTACGTTAGATCAGTATGTTCACAAGTACCCATTATCTATTGTGCATGGTGTCACGTTGCATTTTTCTTCTTCTTCCATTCTTGAACCTCTAGCGGGCAAAGTAGGGTTTTACTTGAGACACCTTGTTTCTAGGTTAAGACTTCCTCCTAGCTCCTTTTTCTTAGAGGTGTTTTGTAAGTCATCTCGTATACCTTTGTGCATATCGTTGCTTCAAAATTTCTTTCTTTTGAAGAAATATGGTGACTAGTTTTCTTTTAGTAGCCGTCATTTCCTTTTGGTTCACGGTCTTCCAAGAACAAACATGGGATGGAAAGGAAAATTTTGTCAGGTAGATTCAAGTAGCGTTTGTATTCCTAACATCCTTGGTTCGTGCCAAATAAAAACGAACAAACTCCTCTAACTCCAAGATTATATAGATTTCTTTCTTTAGTTTCTCAATACTACATTAAAACATGTTTCTTTCCTGAAGTTGTACTTGTCTTATTTGGCATGATTCCTATCTGGAAAGCTCGTGATCAGGAGCCCATCTTATTAGTGATTCCTCCAGGTAGATGAATGTTATTCTTGTTTTTCCTTTAATTTGTAACTTAACTGGGCATTACTTTTATATTTAATGAATTCACACCATCTCATCGGGTTCGGGGCGAAGATCTTTTCTGTGGAGCAGCTTCTGGTTGGTGCCAACGTTCCCTTGGATGATAGGATTACCCATATTCTTTCTTGACATGATGTCGATGTTGACGTGACACCTCCTCATGTTTCTGTTTCGAGAACCATTCTAGGTAAACATAAATTGCCATCCTCTTCACAATAATTTGATGAGTTTTTTTTTGCGTGGTATGACAAGTAAGTCTTTTCAAGACAAATGGCTTGGCTAAACTCCAGACTTCTTCTAGTTCATTTTCTGATGGTAAAGTTTGCACCCCAATTATCCCCTCTCTCTCCTGTTTTTTATACCAATGTCATTATGCTTATTATATTATGCATGTTGTAGGGTCTTTTCAGTCTTGCAGGAGGAGTTTGACATGGCTTTCCAGCTTATTGCTCATGTTGATGACATTTTTGCTATTGCGAATGGGAAGAAATTGAAACTGTATGATGGATTATTGAGTCTGCGCGATCGTTATTTGTTTTCTGAAGTGAATTTATGTATATCTGAAGGTATGAAGTCGGCCGATAAGGAGGTGTTGTTTGACACGGGGAAACATCATGTTGAGCTGAGCGCTCAATTTCGTGTTGCTTCTGGGAGAATTAATTTTTTGGAGAATCAGTGTTCACTTTTGGAGGCTGACTATGAGGCTTTCCTTCGAGAGAACGATGTCCTGCATGCTCAACTCACTGGGAAGTCTTCTTAAGTACTTTTTTCTGAATTGTTTATGCTTTGTGTGTGTCTTAGCAAGCATTTTGGTAGGGATAGCTTGTAAGTGTAACCAACTTGTTGTGCTATCGGTTATTTTGTTGGACGAACCTTACATTGTTATGCTCGATGGTTTTAATCAAGTTTTTGGTCCTAGCTTACATTTCTCTTTCACACTTGATTACTTGTGCCTAGTCCTCATGTTTGTCGGTGTGATTCATCTGGTAAGTTTTGCAAATCTGGCCACTGTCCTACCGAGGTGCAATTTGCCTCTTATAGGTCATGTTGCTCATAATCATATGCTAGTATGATTTGGTCAAGGAAATGTTGCGACCTTGTCACGGTGGCGTGTTAGCTTCATTAATCATGTTTCTTTAAATCATATGTGGGTATGATTTGACCCAAGTAATGTTGCGACCTATTTGGGATGTCGTGTGCCCCTCATAAGTCATGTTTCGTTAAATCATATGTTGGTATGATTAGATCAAGGTAATGTTGCGACATTTTCGGGGTATCGATTTCCCCTTAAAAGTCATGTTTCTTTGAATCATATGTTGGTATGATTTGATCAAGGTAATTTTGTCACCTTTATAGGATGTCGTGTGCCCCTCATAAATCATGTTGCTTTGAATCATATGTTGGTTTGATTCGATCAAGGTAATGTTGCAACCTTGATGGGGTTTCATGTGCCCCTTATAAGTCATGTTGCTTTGAATCATATTTTGGTATGATTAGATGTTATACTTCACTAAGAGTTAGAAACGAGTTAGAGAAGTGGCAGTGTAACCACTTATACAGTTAGAATGGTGCATTGAATTGTAGTGGGAATTGTAATTTACCTAAGAGTAGATGGTTAAGAAATGTGTTCGTTTGAAACCAAAAGGTAAGTTTATAATCATGGTTGAATGAAGTGGGACAAAAGATGAGAAATGGTGTCAAGTGTGCAATATGATTGAATAAGGGTAGATAGAGTATTATATGTCCCTTAACAACCATTGTGAGTAGATAGATGAAGAGATTTTGGTAATTGCATTGAAAATGCTACGAATTGGAAAGTAGATTACTATTTCAGGTTATGAGGTTAGACAAAAGAATAACCTTAGAAAATATCCATTGAGTGAAAAAATGGCTAAGGAAGTTAAGAAAATATTTTGAGGATGAAATCTCTTAAAAGATGGGAGATTGTATGAACATGGAATTTAGAGGGATTTGACTTTTAGTCCAATATTGACCAAAACGAAAAAATGGTCATTTATGAGAAATTAGCAAATTTATAAATTTTTGACTTCATGAAAATGGCCAAGATGAGTTTAAGTCACTAATATGAGGTTATATGAATCAGTTCAAGAGATGAAATACGTGAGAAGATGCATTTTGGTGAAAGGAGTAAAATGGGAAATTTAATGTTCTTTGGGCCAACTTTGTGACTTAATAGATTAAAACTTGTATTAAGTCAGCGAGTAATGACTTAACAGGGTTGTAGAATGTATCCCCAACTTCGTGTGGATATAAGGATCATAGAAAACAATCTTAGAACGAAAAAGTTATGAAGGTTAGAAGTTGGGAGAAAACTCGTCCCCAAGGCTGGAATGGAATCAACAATACACTTTGTTGATCTGCAGCTACTACGACATGGAGAATTCTTTGCCACGACAAGGTGAGGATGATGAATAAAAGGTCATATTCTCATCGTAAGTAGAGGGTAATTTACTTTACCCCGTGATATGGTATATGGGTGCCACAACGCGGTGGCCAAAGTTGGACGTTGTAAGAGGAAGGCTTTACACATCGACTAGAGGCTGACCACAACCTAAGAGCTCACACCATGGCACGATGATACCTTTATGATAACGCGTTCTCGAGGATTAAAAATATGTTCTAACCTATTAGAGCCTCATTTGCGAACCTAAAACACCCCAAATTAGGGGAGAGCTTAAGGCTGACGATTTTAGTGTCAAGGAGGCAAGAGAAGCTAGAGGTGGAGCCTAACAAGGATTTCTGTCCTCTCTCCATTAAGGTAAACAATTCTACATTTTTGGTGAAATGTTTAGTTTGGTTAGATTGGTTGAATTGATCAACCTATACTTTGATTATGATGTAGATGAGAGTGTTTATAAGCTTTAATAAAGCTTGGGAAGTGATTTCCATGGTGAAATCAACCCAACGAGAGTTAGGGTTTGAAACCCTAACAGGTACAATTATGATTGATGCGTTAAAGTTTAGATTATAATGAATTAGTTAGTATGGGATGCTTCATTCATTGGTTGGGTAAGATTAAGAGGTGGAAATTAAGAAGTTAGAATATTGATCCATTGCGTGGTCATTTTGACATAGAGAGGTTTAAGCTCTTAATAGGCTAAGACATGTTCTAAGGGACTTGACATGTAGTATGAATAGGCCTTGAGCAAAGAAGATGGATCAAATTGCATCAACCGAAGACTAGAGCCTAGAGTAATTAATGTTCACTAACTAACAAGCTGAGTTATGAGTTATACCTACATGATGTAGAGAAAGAAAGAATAGGATTATACTTATTATAATCCTATGTATGAATGCATGTATGCATAGATGAGAAGGGTATTTGTTGAATACCTAATAAATGGTAAAAAGAGATAGAATATGATTATATTCATTATAATCATATTAGTGAGTTAATGGTATTGTGTAGAATACCTAAGAGCAATGAGAAAAAGATAAAGATTATGTACTTAATAAGTTAAGTACTAGATGAGTAGTAGAAGGTCAATTGATGAGATAAAGAGATAAAATGTCCATGGTACACGTGTGATGTCATGAGTTACATAAAAGGGTTAAAGAAATTTAGAAAGATGATTTGTTCGGGAATGATATAGAGATTCCTTCATTCTTAAGAGTATGATTCCTTCGGGAATAAGATTATGGTTCCTTAGTGAATGTAGATATATGATTCGTGTGGGAATGAGTTTGTGTATGGTTAGAGAATACAGAGGAAGGATTCCATGAGTGGAACAAGGTAAGAGAGGTCTTTAAGAACATAAAGATAACAGAGATGGATTAAGAATAGGGAATCTGTGATGGATTCTAGAAAAGAAGAATATTAAAGGGATTCACTAAAGATCAAGATGAGGGAGTTATGTTTGGATGGTTGTTCTCGGTAAGATTAGATGTACGTTGTCCCATATATGATTAATGTAGTTATTTTATGTGATGGACCGTTTCGGTCTAGATGAGAATAGAATGTTGAGGCATGAGAAGTTGAGAACATAGAGATAAGATTTAAGTAGAGTAAGAGAAATGCATGCCAAGAGTAAGAGATGAGAAAAGAGAAGAGTATGAGTATGAGTATGATAAAGGATTGCGTAGAGAGAGTGAAGACTATAGGAAGATGATATGAGATAGAGTATGGAGAAAGCAAAAATAGAAAAAATAAAAAAGAGCATGAGAGAGAGAAAGAAAGAGAAGATAGAGCATTTATAGAGTATGAGATGAGCCTCAGAAGAGGCTAAGAAACAGCATGAGTTAAGAAGAAAAGAATGGAGAAGAATAGTAAAGGATAGAGCATGAGATAGAGGAGATGAGAAGGTATGAGAAACGAGGAGAAGGGACAGATGGATGAGAAAGAATAACAATGTATGCTATAAGAGGAAGATATTAGATTGCAGAATATGAGAAAGAAAATAGAAGAAGGACACAGTATGGAAAGATAGAAAGAGATAGAAGAAGAGTATATTAAACATGAAATAGAAAGTATATAACTCACCAGATATTGATGTTTGATGTTGTAGAGATATTTCATGTTTTGCAGGTTCAAGTAAAAGCCATGGTAGATGAGAAGATAGAGGCACAAGGACATAGACTAGAAGTGTACTTAGTTTAGTTTTCCTTATTGCTATATTTATGATTTTATTGTAAACCTGAATGTTTCCTAGGATGTAAAATGTTTTATTTTTATTAGTATATAGAATTCCAAATTTTTTTAGAAATAATTATGATAATACCTAGATAGTTGAGTGTAGAAAGTTTAGGTGATGTTTTGTCCAGTAATTGTGGCCAATGGTTCAGCTTCTACCCATTTGGTGAAGTAATAAATTTCTATAAGTTGGAACTTTACTTTTCCTCGTGCCTCCAGGAAAGTCCCGACAATGTCAATTCTCCATTGTGCGAATGGTCATGGGATTTTGATACTTATAAATGGTGTGGCTGCTATTCTCGGTATCGGGGTGTGTTTTAGGCATTTCTCACATTTATAGATAATGAATTTCTTGTCTTAATACATTGTTGGCCAATAGTATCCTAATCGGGCTACTTTCTGGATGATCGTTCTTGCCCCCCTCATGTGCTCATGTTATCCCTTCAAGCATTTCACTTATCAACTATTTCGCCTCGACCTTATTTCCACATCGTAGTCGGGGTGCTAGGTAACCTCTTTTATAGAACGTCCCATTTTGCATCACAAAAGATGGTGCCATGATTCTTACTTTTCATGCTTGTTTGTTATCCTATGGTAGCTTTCCTTCCAACAAGTATTCAATTATTGGACGTATTTAATGGTTTGTCGGGTCTTCGACTGAGATTGGTTGTGCTTCATTTATCAACTTTATTTGTACTATTTCTACTAGGAGTTGTTTTGTAAAGTGTGAAAAAGCAGGTGACGCTAGCTTGCTTAATGCATCTGTTCACTTATTCTATGATCGGAGTACATGTTGTATTTTGAAGCTTCTGAATTGCTCTATTTGTGATCTTATTTTGGCTGTGTATTGCAGCAAATTGCAGCCCATGACTTCATAGAGTCCATTGGTTATCTACTACCATAGAGTCTACGAAGGTGCTTATATTTTGGCATCCCATTTTAATTCCTAATTGTAGTCGTGCTATTAAGCTTCGTACTCGGATTCATGGTTTGAGGCTACGAAGTAAAACCGTAGTGTATAGGTTATGTATTCTCTTGTTGGGTTGGTCGGTATTAAACCAGCTCCAGCCCCATCTACACTTGAGGATCCATCATCATGGAAGACCCAT